CCACATCCACCCGTACAGAGAAAAGCAAACGGTTATTGATGTAGTTTGAGTAATGCCGAAGTTAAAAGCAGATCAAACCATTTTTTTTACACTTATCAAATGAGAGATTAAATCATTGTTGTTAGCAGTATATTCACATTATGTATATGTTATTAAATATTCTATAATAATTCTCCTTTTATAATTAAAACCTGAATTACCTGCAATGCTGACATTAATAAAATTTAGTTTAATAACAAACAGACGAGACCAGCCTAAAAGTATTGTTTTCACTTGCTCATTTTATGTATAACAATAGTACAAAGTGATTTTTCCCTTGCAAAATAGGAGCGTTTTATATTTACACATTTTATACAGTCATATATCATTATAAAAAAACATTACAGGTAATGTTTGACGGAATATTGCACAGCACATTTATAAATAAACATCTTCAAAACACACAGAGAACAGATGAGTTCTGACATTGGCCATTATTTCTTTTTTAGTCATTCCTCTTTTTTTCTTTTTTTTTTTTATAATCAAGGTCCATTTGGGAAAACTGTCCCCTTTGACACAAACAAATAGTACAGACAATTTTAACCATTAGCGACTTCATACACAAAATGACTGATTGAATGGCGAATCAGAACGCAACCTAAAAAAGCATGATTTAAAAAAAAAAAGAAAAATCATAGATATGGCAATAAATACTGCAGCAAGTAGACGCTAATAAGTCTTACAATGTACATCAGGACTTAAACAATACAGAGACATATGCTCCAAACACGATCCTCAACACCGCCACCACAGTCCCATTAACAATCCACATGTGACTGAGGCCATAAGGAAAACCCACTTCACTAAAACATTTGAATAGAAATGAAATATAAGACTGGAGTACCTAACTTTGGATAAAAAAAATAAACATGGAAAAGGCATTGTTGCTGCCCTGGTGCCTGCTGCGTCGTGATTGGCTGCCGTCATTGTTGTCGTCGATGTGTATGATAGTCACAGGGGTAGGAATTTATACGATTTTTATTTCTCCCACTCCTTTTTGAGTTGGAATGATGTAACATTTTGTAATAGGTATTTGTAAATGAAATATTTGCTAGAAATTTCTATGCAGTGATATTTGATAATTAATGTTTGATGTACATTAAACTCAAAATAAATAAATACTTAACTCGAAAAGGTTTGTTCCCGCATCTAAAATTTGCTGAAAAATTTCACATGTATGTATTTTTAGTCACATCTTTGACGTGATTTTTTTTGTTGAAAAATAGTTCCAGCCCTCACTAACTCACTCACTCACTCGTCCAATCAGCTCCCAGTCTGTAAAAGATAAGATGTTTTCTAATACTAAACCAACATATCGTGGTATGAGTTGTTCAAGAATTGTGACTTAAAGACAAAAAAATGTATTTATGAAACAACAAAAGTTAAGTACTCCAGCTTTATGAGACCTTAAAACGACCTGACTTCACATCATCCCAAAGCGTCCCCAAAATCTCAATCATGAAAATAGCTTCGATCAGCAGCATTGATTATGTGGCAAATCACTTCACAAAAACGCCACAAAGAAGGAATCGCACGACAGAAGCCATAATTGCTTTTTCAGTTTTTTTTGCCTCAGAGCTCTTGTAATTCACGGTTAAGAGTTGAAACTTTATAGAAGAAAAAGAACTTCAAAAATCAATAACAGACAAAAACAACAAAAGAATTTGCAGGAAAAATGTTGGGACACATTTCTGTGAAGCCAGGTCGCTGTATAGAAACTCAGAATCTCATTAGCAATTCTGCTACGTTGGCGAGGGTTTTGTGGGGCTGTGCCAAAAATGTTTAGCAATTTGAAGTTTGTTAGTTCGCAATTATTGTTCAATATGGTAAAAAACATGCAAGATTTTTTTCTTCAGATAAGTAAGTAATATTTATTAATGTAGCACATTTAACAGACCAAATCGATTAGGGTTCACTGCAAAAAAGGATCAAATATAAGGTTAAAATTGCTTGAATGCCGTTAATTTGAGCACATTCTGACCGTCTTAAAACAAGATTTGTCAACAAAACAAGCCACTTAGTCTCATTCCAAGGGAGACATTTCTTGTATCTTTTTAAAACAATATAATTTTCCTTTTCCCATTGGAACATCTCGTTGTAAGGCAGTCAAAATGTGCTCAAATTAAGATATATTTTGCAATTTTTCACCTATTTTCTATCACTGCAGTGTTTTTGTAGCATTTTGATCCGAGGTTCAGTGTAAGTAGGCGTTCCCAATAGTCACTCGATGTGGAATTCAAGTATCAATGTAAACAATGACTGATGAGAATAAAGGCTGGGGGTGTGGGTGCGGTCAGTGTGGCCCCGTTTGGATTAATCTGACCCAGGATCAGCGCTTGTAGGGTCCATTAATCACGCTTTCTCCCACAGTTCAATTTGTCCCACACACTTATCTCTGAGTGGCTGAATTAGCGCTCTATAGATCATGGCGGTAAAAAATTACCTATCACAAATGGGATCTGTCTTTTTCTGTACAATGGCAGCTTATATTAATAGCTTTCGATCGTTTAACATAAATGAAAGATGAGACATGTTATATTTGGCAACGAACGCCGGGGTTTGGGTCTTGATATATTGTTGTGTGTGTTAGAAATATGAAAGTAATGCATTTCCCGGTCTCTGTTCATTATGAGAAGCCAACATCTCGGTGAACCGTGACAGTTTTAGGCGAGACACTTCCGTCAAACGCTTAGAATTGGCCAAAAGACTAGTGTTCGTTCGAATTTATCATAACATAAATATTCAATAATTTTACATTTAGAGTAGGGTACTAGGAACAAGTTATGAATGAGATAGCAGTTATCTAATTCAACCTTACATAGGGTTAAACAAGCTGAGAAGAGGTTTTATAACTTAGATTAGGGGTGTCCAAACTAAGGCCCGCGAGCCAAATGAGGCCCTCTCTGACATTTTATCTGGCCCTCTGCATTTCTAACACAAAGTAGCACAACATCATCCAGCCAACTTCAGCTCAAACTATATAGTCATGCCGTATCTCGTTGTAAAGCTCGGAGCCGTTGGAATCCAGCTGTCAACTGTATTCATTTAAAATATTTGTTTTTGATTGTGTCACAAAAGACTTTATATGACGCTAATGTAGCTGTGACGTGAATCAATATGGACATTATATCACACCTAATTTTAAAACTCAGGACTGCCAAAATCTAGCCAAATTATTATTTTTGTTAAATCTGCGTTGGTGATCCTTAAACAAGTCGCTCACTGACCTTTCAGGAAATAAACAATGAAAACAATAATTGGCCAACAAAATGATTGATTACAGACCTAATTCAGAGCGCGTATAGCAATATGGGGTGAATTTTGAAGAATATTTTTCCCACAATGATGCCAACCAATGAGACCAGTGGAAGTGCTGTCTCGCCCTAAACCATTTGGCTACTTCATAAACTTTCAATACGGTTAAATAATATCTCTGGAGACATCAATAAAAGACTTAACAACTTTCATCTTTCAACAGTTCTAATGACACTCCACCAGTGATATGGCAAGAGAAAGACAAAAAAAAAAAAATCAGTCCTTCACTTTTGACACTAAAAATACTCTCTTCTTCTCTTTAATGAGCCCAGTCTTTATCTGTTCAGTGACTTTTCAAGTTTCTCCCATTCTTTATTAAGTGCTGTGGTCTTCAGAGATCCCGCCGTGCCACACTCTCGCACAGTAAGTAAAAAGACTACAAAGACGAACCATTACCCAGTGGAAAAGACACAGTGCCAAAAGCTGTAGCCGCGATGGCCCATATCCAATGCGTTCTCGTTCTCTCGCTATAAGGGCATTTCCAGAGTTGGAAATTTGCCCCTTGGATTTTGTCCTAAAAATTTTTAAATAAATAAATAAAGTAATCGAGGGACGACTCTGGACTGGAACGTGGAGCTTTGGGAGTCGTCTGTGTGATGTGGTTTGGCGTATGGGTCTGTGTGTGTTTATGTGACGTATGCATTGCCCCTTTATACATTAGGCCCAAGGAGATGCATACTGCTCTGTGTATGTGATTGTACATACATGTACTGTAAGTGCAGTCAACCCAAAAATGTATGTAGCTATAAGACGTTTCAACACCACAATGGTCAAAATTGCACGTTTTCTAGTGATTTAGAACTGAGCTTTTAAGTCCTACAGTAACAACAGGGACAGCTATAGATGAAATAGCGTAGCCTGTATAGAAAAAAAAGAAAAAAAATCACTTCAAAAACAGAATCTGTGCAATGTTTTGAGGAGTGATGAGAAATACACTACATGGAGATAAATATTTCCCATTTTACTGTATCCAATGTAAAGCCACATTAACTTTAGAACTCCCAGACCAGTCAATTATACACGGTTTTTAGTATTAGTTTTATATTAACCAATTTTAGCACAAAAAGAAAAATAAATTGGTAAAGATTTCAGATGGGAAGGGGAATGGTCTGGTGCATCCATCCATTGGTTTGGATGAGAGCAGTCAAAATTACGGCTCTGAGAGTTCTAGTCGTTTCATAATTGTGGTAGTCCTAGTGTTAATAATAATTTAAAACAATCTTTACAATAGAAAGAGGTCCAGTGGCTTCGTGGATTATACCACACCATTGCCATTTCACAGTAACAAGCAGAATCCTTCCATGTACTGTAGATAGTAAACAGGGGTTTTGTGACAATTCCAAACGTTACAAGTATGGCGTTAAAAGTGTGGAATGATTGCAAATGCTCGAATCATTTCCTATAGGGACTTGTCGCCAAATTACAGGTCCGAGGTCCGTCAGATGAATGGCAAAAAATATGCAAATCCAAGGTTGATCAAACCAATTGGGGTTATTTTACCGGCTCCATCATTCACATTGTATACTTGTTTTTTTGTTTAGTTTTTTTTTTTATCCATGAATCCACGTCCCGCATTTGAAACGTCAGATGGCCAGGACAGCGAGTTTCACCAGTGCACGTTTAGGTGTAGTAAGTGTGCTTGACTCTCAGCTCTCTGCAGACATGGCTGAGATGATCTGCTCCACTTTATATGCCAGCTTCTGCTTCTGGGCTTGTTCATCGTGCTCCAGTGCCTCGGTGATCTATCACACACACACACGAACACACACGAACACACACGCACACACATGATTACATTAGTATGGTAAGTGTGAGCCAGTGAAGAATGGCACGGTGCATGTTATTAGTCAGCGACGCGTTCCAAAATGACAAATATGCACATTTATCCATAACGCCGCCATAACAGATTCTAAATACCAACACTGGGCAATCTGATTTACTGACGGCAACTGATTACATTGTGTATAAAGTTCACAGTATTATCCGAAAGTCAGCTGTTTTTAAATGTCAGGGATATAACAATGCAGTGGTAATAATATAGTTTGAGTGGTGTAAAACTAGAATACAGCCTGATTGGTTTTTGCAGGGGGTAACCCAAAATATGTCCTATTTTTGTCCTTGGTAAAACTGATACAGGACAGTGGTGATGATCCTGGACACTCGACATTCAACAATATTTATGGACTTTTTCAACATTTACTGACATTGGTCATCTGCCCCTTTTGGACCAATGGCTCTATGTGTGTTTATCGTTGCATTCCTTGTGTTTGAACTGTTTTATTCTCTGATTTGTGTTGGAGAATTCAACGGTTTTGTAAAGTCCCCTGAGATAACTACTGTTGGGATTTAGGGCGATACAAAAATGAATTGAATTGGATAAAAACATTCATGTGGATACCAATGGTGTGTCGTTGCCTTTGGTTTGTGAGGGATGTAGGGTCAGAGAGATTTGGGCCTGTGTCTTATCTGAGTGTGTGTGTGTGTGTGTATGTGTGTGTGTGCGCAGCTGTATTGCTTCTGTATTACTTTTTTAATGCTTCTGTTCCAAAATAGTCTCCGTCTTGAATGGGTGCGAAGGGTTTGGAAGTTTATCTGCTTTTTCCAACCCCTTTTCAAAACTGTGCCATTTTGGTAAGTCTTCTGTGTGTACTTGTTCCCTCCTACCAGTGAGTGGCGCAATCTCATTTGTATGCCCTATATAAGGGTCAGTAACTATACACAGGGGTTGTAGTGTGGAGCAATATATCTTTTGACCGTTGTCTGTTGCCTTAGTTTATAGTGTGAGATCTGTGTGTTATTTGGATGGCCATAAATGATTGTGGAACACCGTATTTTTGATCAATTTGGATGGTGAGAGATTTTTGGTTGCTTCAGTGTTATTTTGTTTTCATGTGTTGTGAAATTGTCTGGATTGATTGGACCAAGATAGATGATTTAGATATCTACTTCCTTCTGCCCTGGCCGCTTCAACAACGTTTTTACATGTAAGCATTTGCATCTGTTCACACTAAATCTATCCAATGCTGATCCTGTGAAAATCTAGAAATATTCTCCTTCGTGACAGCAGTGGAACATGTGACACAGCAGCTCACCTCTTGGCTGTATTTGCTGACGTAGGTGAAGATCTCGTGAAGCGCACTCAACACGTTGAACTCGCTGGAGTGGAGGCGCGCCTGCTCCGCCAGATACGCGTTCATGTCTTGATCGCTGATGGCGGGAAGTCGGCTAATGTCGGCGTAGTACCTGAGAACACATGCACAGCCGTCACAAAGACAGCCCCACCTCTCTCCTGCCAGCACCAGCCTCCTTATAGAGCCCATACGGCAAAGGGAATCAGGAGTGAGGAGTCAAACAAAATAAAATAGATAATTTGATAGTGATCTTTCAAGGACTTTACCAACATTTATGAACATTGGTCATCAACCCCTTTTGGACCAATGGCTCTATGTGTTCTCTTGTGTTTGCACTGTTTGATTCTCTGATCTGTGTGAATTTGACGGTTTTGTACTTGTCATGTCAATTTTTCCCCCTTTATTATTCCATTTCTGGGTCGGGAGGGGGGTGGCAATCAGAGCTACCACCCAAGTCTCAAAACACCAGTCCCTCGCTGATCCTCCTGCAGGTGGTGGGTCCACAGGATGATGTCTTCAAAGACATGGCCTTGGTCTTATAGCAGGGGCTTCAGGCAAAGCGGGGTTAAGTGTCTTGCCCAGGGACACAATGACAGTTGACATCAGTGGGAGCAGATGACATGGGTCGTGGGTTTGGTTTTGTAAAGTCCTCCGAGATTACTCCAGTTGTGATTTAGGACTATTCAAAAATACTTTGAATTGCCAGTGGCTAAACATTCATGTGGATACCAATGATGTGTCTGACCCTACATCCCTTCAAACTAAAGGCAAAGAGAGTATTTGGGCCTGTGTCTTGTCTCAGCGTGTGTGATTGAGAATCCTGCCATAATATTTTATGTCTGAAAGTCCTTTCTACTGGCCACCATTGTGCTTTTTTTTATGAATATTGTCACAAGTTCTGGGCACCGCAGGATTTACAGAGGAATTAACTTAAAAAAACTTGAATTTTCTTTACTTTTGAACTCTTTCCGCTACAATCAACAAACCATAGGGCCTTCAGAACGTTGTAATGTACATGAACATAATTTAAAGTAATTTAACAGTCACGTGTTTTCCTTTAATATACAATAATTTAGGGATGAAAAAAAAGTTCCTTGTTTAATCACAACTAAGCTTTCAGGATCTAAACAACTAATCCATTAATCAAAAGCTCGGCCAACTAAATTATTATCTAAATAATTGTTTATTACAGCCCAGCAATAAGAAATATGTAATAAAAAAAAAAATTAAAGCCATTTCTGTCTAGCAGGACCTGTCCCTGATGTAAAATGCAAGCAGAAGCAAATATAAAAAGGTGTGGGGACTCATGTGCAGTCAGTGGAGGTGAAAAGTGAGGGAAGGATTCACATGTGTGGAACTCTGACTTTTTAGTCACAGTTGGACATGAGACTCTGCTCCACAAAGATGAAGAAGTGTGATTGCTAAAAACGGACGTAGTGTGAACAAATGGGGCAAATTATTTGTAAATGTGTCATCTTATACTCGCCTTATCCATGGTGTGTAAAAGTCTGTCCAGGGACAGAGGGCTGTAGATTAGCCTGGGACTTTAGAAGCCCTACATGTATGTACTTCAACATTGAATACCTATTATCCCGTAAGTAAATATTTCTATTATTTATCACGTGCGTTGACTATCACTCACATTTGGATAGTGAACAATACAACGAGAACTTTAAGAGTGATTTAACCAATAAGAACATGAGCCTATTTTTAAAGGAACGCAGTGTACCCATCGAGAACATAGAAAAATATTGTTGAACACCAAGTGAAATGTTTACCTTGTTTTCTTAAATATAAACTGAAATATACAACTTTAAAACCACAAAATAAATGTATTCAATCCATCTAACTCAGTTTCTCAAAACACTTTTTCAGACACTGGTAATGACACTGGGCTCTGTTTTGGTTCACACTATTTTACTTTTACAAGACTCTTTCTGTCAGAATCAGAATGTAATAATTATGAGGAAAAAAAGTTAGGAGCCCAGCTTTAACACTAGATACTCCCAGAGCAGCCAATTAGACACATTTTAGTTATGGAAGTGTACAGATCAGCTCATGGGCATTCCTGATCTTCATAACTTTGTGACTGTTTCAGTTTCTATATTTAGTTTATTCCAAGAGAGACATATCTTGTATATGGTTTTAAAACCAGATATTATTGGTGGTCCCATTGGCAAATCTTTTTTAAGACAGTTAAAATGTACTCAAATAAATATACATTTTACTATACATTTTCATCACCCTTTTGTAAGTTTTCTATTTAATTATTTATTAGGATATTCTATTTTTAATTTTGAAATGTGAGTGGTTCTACTTTGAACTAATTTTCCACCAGAGAATATCAAGTGCTAGCTACCATAGCAACACATAGTTTACTGTCAGAAGTTGGCATTAGCCTTTTTTCTGTTGTCATAAGGACCAATTTTAGCACTTATTTCTAAAGTGAGAGAAAGTAATTCCCTTTCACTTTCTTAAAATTAATGTAGTGAAAAACTGGACTAGAATTCCATTGACTTGAATGGGTGCAGTCAAAATGAGGGCTACAACTCAACTCATTCCCCCCATTCAAACCTCCAAACTATAAAACAAAGTTGTATTCAAGAGTATCTTAAAGGGAGTATACAGTATACAGTATACACACACACACAGTACTTACCGTTCGACCCAGCTCTTGTAATGTGGGATGTCTTTCGCGTATAGAAGTTTGGTGGAGGGAGAATCTTTGCCGAGTCGGTGTTCAGAAGTGGAGCAGGAGTCCATGAAGGTCTGAGCCACCACCGATAAACAGGCGTCTGTGATGCTGCTTTTGTGAATGTCAAATACAAACTGAGGATTTTTGATCACGTTTACCCAGAATCTCAGGGGAAGGCTGTCGACAGAGTAAAGAGGAAACCATCAGGGGTGTACATGTTACTTTTATATATAAATTATTAATGTTTTGAAAATTGGAAATTGGAGTCATTAGGCATGCCATTGAGGTTGTTGTTGTTACACAATTGGGTCCAAAAATTGGCATTTGAAGCAAATGTGAATACTGCAATTTTGAAATCAGTATACACTGTCTATTTTAGAAGTATTTGTATATTTTGGAATTTATGTTGTTGTTTGGGGGAAGCATCAGAAATGAGACAATTTTGTTTCATTTTGTATTTGTAAACAGATTATACAGATTAATTGTTTATTTTTTATTTTTGTCGTCCTGGACCTGTGTGTATGCGTTAGTTTCAGGATAACAAAAATTACATTTAATTTGTATGTATGGAGGCAGCTTTTACAACACTTCTATTTCATATCTGCAAGCTGAGATTGAGTGAGAATCATGCAAATAAAACCAACTAAGAAAATGTAATCTTTTAAAGGTATATGGTGCCATACATAAATAAAGATGACTGACTTACTTATATGCCCTTATAACGAGTTAATATTATGAGGCGTCTGTTGTTTTCATTTAACACTAAAACTCCCAGAGCAGTCCATTTGATTTCAAAACATTGGTGTAACTTGTGTAAACAAGTGTAATTTACATTGATGCTTGGCTCGGTCAGGACTAACAAAGCTGGAGGATTTACCATGTACAAAATTAAATCCTCCATCTTCAATAGGTTTAGTGGTAAGGGAAACCGGAGGACCCAGAAGAAACATTAGCAGACATGGGGAGAACATGCAAACTCCAGTCAGTAAGACCCCGTTTTGACTGCTATTAGAACCCAGGACATTCTTGCGGCCTGTCTTAGTGTTAATAATGGCCAAATACAATGCATAATACTTCTTCATTGGTCCTCATGTGAGCCTGGGGGGGACCACGTGGGGCGGGATGGGGGTTTGTGAACTTCTCACCAGTTGCTCTTCCAGGTGTGACGGACGTCCATGTCATGAATGCCATGTCCGTCCGCCTGCTCGTCCAGGAAGTCGAACATGTATTTAATGGCTAGCGGCAGCGCGGTGCCTCGACACACGGTGCTGAAGAGAGTCTCGAAAAGATCGTCCACAAACTTCTGCAGAGTGCCCTGAGGAGGAGGAAATGTGTGATTTAGATTAACAGATTCTTTATTCATCCCACTGTCGGGAAATGTCAAATGTTGTATATGCAGTTACAGATTAACTACACATCTAACTTAATTATGAAACAAAAAAATCTCTAACTTTAGCATAATAAAGACGTAGTTCTCAGCCATATTTGTCTCCAGAAAGTAGCTCTCTGGGAGAAAAGGTTGGAGAAACTTGATATGAAAAAATTTACTTTGACTTGTCTTGAACGGGTAACTGTCTATACTGTTTAGTTATCCACTAGGTTAGACTACTGCAATGGCCTGCTCACAGGTCTGTCCAAACAGGCAGTAAAACAGCTGCAGTACATTCAAAATGCAGCAGCTCGAGTCCTGACTAGAACCAGGAAGTACGACCATATTAGTCCGGTCCTCAGGGGTCTGCACTGGCTTCCTGTGGCTCAGAGAATAGACTTTAAAACAGCTCTGCTTGTGTACAAGTTTCTCCATGGCCTCGCACCAAAATATATTAGTGACATGTTAGTACCATATGAACCAGCCCGGACTCTGAGGAGCACAGGGACTGGACTCCTGTTAGTGCCCAGAGTCAGAACTAAACATGGGGAGGCTGCTTTTCAGATTCATGCAGCTAAAATCTGGAACAATCTTCCTGAAGATGTGAGACAGGCCTCCTCTCTGACAATGTTAAAACCAGGTTAAAAACAGTGCTGTTTAGCTGTGCATACAACTGAGGGATTTTATATTTTTATCTTTTTTAATGTTCTGTGATTATTTATGATTTTAATGCTATCTTGTTCAGCACTTTGAGTTGCCTTGTGTACAGTATGAATTGTGCTATACAAATAAACTTGCCTTGCTTTGCCTTGCCTCTGAAAGTGCATGGTATGTATTAGTTGTTTTAATGCTCTCAATCGTTAAAGAAATACAGTTTAAACTAGTGCTGTCCAACGATTAAAATATTTAATCGCGATTAATCGCATGAATTTCATAGTTAACTCGCGATTAATCGCAAATTAGTCACACATTTGCGTGCTGTGTGCAATTGCTTTTTTTTATTGAAAACAAGGTGTAGTGTTATATTACACACTAACATTTGATGCAAAATCATCAATAAATGGATGACAAAATAAATAATTGGTAACAAAAAGCCCCTTCAATGTGTGTGTGTGGGTGTGTGTGTGTATGTGTGGGTAGACCATAGACTGTATAGAAACATCATGGTGTCATTATGATGATGATAAACAATCTGTAAATATTTTGTAAATTTGTTCATGTGAATACTCTATGCTGTTTCTGTTTACCTTCGGTATATCTATGACTGTATACTGTTTGCTTGTATTGCCTTTTTTATTAACCCCTCCCCCCATCTCCCACTTCATGCCCCCCCCCCCCCCCCCCCCCTACATATTGTTTGTAATCTCTGTCTACAATGTATCTGAACTAGTCCTTTTCTTTGTTTTTTTTTTTTTTTAATCGCGCGATAAAAAAAATGACGGCGTTAATATTGATTTGCGTTAACGCGTTAATAACGCGCTATTTTGGACAGCCCTAGTTTAAACACAAATTATTCGCAATATGTCGATTTCATAAAAGTTAGATGAGATAGTTTTGCCATATTGCCCCATGTTAAAATACAATGCAGTACCTTTGTGGCCAGCAGTCTGGTCAGGTAGATCTCTGACACCATTTTACTGCCTCTCTCTCCTTCTTTCTGGTCTCCGTGGTCGTGGTTCTTCACCAAATGCCAAACTTTGACTCCACTCTCCAGATCAGGGGTCAGCATGGGCACCCGGGAGTGGGGGCTGTCCGGGCTGGTGGGAGTGGACCGGAACGGGACATCCACACCTACGCACAATCAAAACGTTTATTGGGAGAAAAAATTGATATGAATATGTTGGTGCATTCTTTCACGTCTTTGCTGTGGCTTGAGAAGGATGTTGTAGAGGAAATTATTATACTGAATAAGAAGCCGAGTCATTTTTGCTAATTGCTTTGCACCAGTTTTATTAAAAGTAAGTATTTATGAGGTTTTTACATTTTCCTACCTTTTAAAAAGCTCTGAAACTGGTGAATATAACTGTTGAAAGGCTACAAAATACTAATAGCTAACAGCAAACAGTTTGTTGCTATGGTAAAAATGAAAAAATCCTACATAATACAAAAATACAACATACTGTCTTAAAAAACAATGTTCGTTTTGCATACAACCTCTGTGAGTCACTATTTAACGCTTTGGGCAGAGGGCTGAGCGAAGGTGGTCCTCTCTTTTTCACAATTCTGTCTAAAAAAAGCTGATCATAAAGAGATTATTTTTTAAACATACAAACTGATAGAACCAGACAGTTTTGAGTGAGGAACTAGTTGTTGACATAGTACCATGGTGTGCGGTGAGAAACTTAGGTACCCTATCTTTAACACACACACCTTCTCCGGTCTATTAAGCTGGGAGTCAAAGAACAATGATTTCACAATGTATAGTTTAAGTTGTTTTCTTGTTTATAAGTTGTTTGCATATCATCAAGTGCTATTGCGTAATCAAGTGGAGCCGTCTCACATTATTCTAGTCTGTAAGATTCACCACTGAACAGCTTTGCATGATGGGAACAGACCAAAGCGACCTCAGAGATGCCAGGAAGAAGATACAAAATGTCCTCATCGACGTGAATTGCTTTCTTAACAGCCTTGGCAACAGCCTTGGAAACAACTATTCCTGGCCTTGCACGGCTCAAACCACAGCAGTTGGCTTCACAAGCACTCAACTTCACTGTTTACTCGAGTAAGTTGAAGGAGGCAGGTCTAATAGAATCTGTTCATATCACGTCCTGAACAATACGACCAGACAGACATAGACTATGCTTTAATGAGTTTTGTGATTATGTTTGTTTGAAGCATAGACCACAGCTGTGACGCTGGATCAGATATCATTGCTAGTGTGACTCATTATGATCCCTCGGGGACTCTGCACTGGGGGTACAGAGACCCCCAGTGGTAGGGGAGAAAAGCTATGCAGATACGGGTAGAACATGCAAACTCCACTCAGAAAGACCCCGTTCCGACCAGGATTCAAACGCTGGACCTTCTTGCTGAGAAGAAAACATGTTATTCACTCATCCGCTGTGTCGCCCTTATTACCAATTGGTCAAAATAATGTGAAGAGAAAATAATGTGTGGTTAGAAAGATGTTTTTGCTCATGATTTTCAGACCTGATTTTCCAGTCTGACCTTGAAGACATCCGTACAGCGGTTTACTCTGAGAAGTGAGGCTTATTGTTATGATTATATATAGAGTTCATCCGCAAAAAACAATACCCACCATTTTTGATATACAGTACTTTTTAAAAAGCCTCTCTAATGTCTCGTTATTATTCCTTTGAGAAATGAACTCTTCATGTGTTGTTTTGTGTTAAGAAGAAGTGTTTGTATTTTTCTGTACTACGAGTCTGTAATACAGTTTGATGAATACACTGTGAAGAGAATGACTTAATTTTGTTTTAAGACAGTCAGAATGTACTTAAATTAGAATTTAAAAGACACTTTTGAAGTATTGAAGTATTTATTACCTCATACTTCATCATTTTGTGCAGTGTAAGCTGTATGAACAGATGCGCGGTTCCTGATGGAAGAATCCGTACTGACCGTATCTGCTGATGCTGCGCGGGAAGCTGGCTGACGAGGGGATATTGAAAGAAGACATCTGTTTTGGCACCAGGGCCACCACGCAGCGATCAGACACCTGCAAAAACAAAAGTGAAAAGGTTTGCCTTTAATGTTTACTCCTTGAAGAAAGCGATGTAAAGCAATGTGTTGATTTTCTAAAATGTAGGAGCAGGAATAACAAAAAAGAATTGAATGGTTGAGATACAGCGTGAAGGTAAAAGTGACTCCAACCAAGTGCTAGAGATGCCCCAATGAGGTAGACTTCAGTTCAGTTCCAAACAGGCTTCAAGTGACTTCCAGTCTTCCAATACATCTCTTGTTGATATTTCCTCCAGTTGAGATTTAATCCAAACCTAATTCAAAACAATATCCAAACACATGTCAAATACATTAGAAGAAGAGGTGAGTGCTAAGATGCTCAAAAGTTGTTAGAAGCCGGTGTTCTTCTGATGGGGAAAGCAAACTATCCTAGAAAAAATGAGTCAATGGCAGATCAAACTAGAACTTTTCACAACCGTGTGCCTCTGACTCATTTTCTGTAGGACATGTCAAATACAGTTCATTTGTCAATAAACTTTTGACAAATGAACATGAACAAAAGAGCCCCAATGAGCTCTTACGTTTTTAAATGTGCCCCCTGTTCAAAATGAGTTTGTGCCCCAGCATTATAGGGATAAATCAACATTTTAATTGTATTATTCTTTTTAAATAAAGTTGCTGTAACCAGATGTCGGGTTGAAAGTAATCAGGGAAAGTTGTTTTTTTCTAAAGAGTTTTGGTAATTACACACATAGCACAACGCAGATGGTGTCAGCTCGGAGTTTAAATCAGTAAACATTATTCTTGAAAGAAATGCTTAAAAATAAAGAAAAGCCATTTGTACGAGAAATGTCTCCAAAGTGAAATCATCGCGGCGGCATTTTGAGACGTTAAAGTGAGAGCTCAAATGACAGATGACTGTGCACTCTCTGTAAACAGCAATGTCTGTGCTGTAGTTTTTTGCTTTGCTTGCTAAGAGAAAAGTCATTTTCTTTTCCGCCTTATAATTCTATGCATACAACAATAAATCAAAACACAGCTGACAAAATGGATAGAAATGATAGTGAAAAGCAAATTCTGCCGACAGCAACGACTACTAGACAAAGACTAAAGGGGTGATTCATGAGAGGTTACAACCTTTGAAGTTCATGAGCAAAACAATGAAAAGACAAAGAGGGATTTGGTGGACAAAATGTTCTAAAGACAAAGACTTCAAATGTTATCAGGGAGTGATATGAATATGAATGAGTGATGTGTGTTGTCCTTCAGGGGGCATGGGCAGAAGACCATAAGAACTAAAAACAATAAAATAATGTCTCGCAAAGATTGTGAGACAACATTGAGATTGCGGTTTTACAAAACTGTATAAGTGTAAAGAAATGTGAAAATGTGTTCTGCAGGTTTGAAAAAAAACCTAAAAACTAACAAACAATATGCAAATGCTGCGTTACATTAGAAAAAGAAACATTCCATTTACAAGCTGTTTACAGTAGCTCCTGAAGTGATTTTTCAATAATAATGACTAAGTTACAGTATTGATGGTTTTTGTTTGTTTGTTTGTTTATTCGGTCATGCAAATTATAATTTTTTGACATAAAAATGCATTAATAAAAGGACAAGGTTACAAAAACACTTTATCTTATGTCAGTAGTGTACATGCTTTAACATAGATTTACAAACGCAGTTGTGAGCGAAGGGATTAGGCTGAAGTATAACTTATGTTTGCCTAATCCAATTTCATTAAGTAAAGTCTCCAAAGTATGGGGCAAAACCCTTTCAAAATTTCAAGATCAGGAGAAAATGTAAATAAAATAAACAATAGGACGGACAGATATTAATCATTTGAGAAGACAATTACATTTTAACAACAAAAGGAAACAGCAAAAGGCTGTCATAGAAATGTAGGAGAGCTGCGAGACCTATCATTCTTGGGCTTGGTAATTTTCTAAAATATTATGTTTAATATTATTTTTTAACGTCTTTAATGTGTAGGAGTTTTTAATTGTGTTGTCTAAGTTGTTCCATAGTCTCACTCCTCTGACCGAGACACATCTGCTTTAATGGTTCTGGGCAACATGTCCGTAAATGCTAAAAGACATTTATGGACTTTATAAACGTTTATGGACTTTATTATTATTAATGGACATTGGTTATCTGCCCCTTATGATTCTCTGATCTGTGTTGGTGAATCAACATTTTGGTAAAAGTCCCCATAAAAAACTACTGATGTGATTTAGGGCTATTGAATTGATATAATACAATTTACATGTAAGTTTCAGCTTCAGATTAATATAAACTCCAAAAAGTGACAAAATATGACTATATTCTGAATGTCTTTCTGACTGTCTTTGTCAATGGGACAGAGGAAGCCGTTTAGCCTTCTTTCAAGAACTGTTCTTTTCTCATTCTAAGGGAGATATTTCTTGTATCTTTTTAAAACAAGATCATTCTGCTTCTCCCATTGCCAAATCGTATTTTAAAGCAGTCAAAATGTGCTCAAAAAAAGAAACATTGCCAAATTTGAGCCATTAGAGATTTAATCTCCATCACGTTTTTGCTAAGTACTATTATACTTTTTCTTTTTTAGATCATTTAGTTGTGTTTGTGTTTTGTAGGAGCCCTGAACGACAATGATCATTCCCGTAAGACGCAGTGGGTAGATCATTAAACAGATGTCTGGTTTACTTTACACGTGGCTTGTACTTAGCATTGCACCAGTGTATCTCTTCTATTAGGGTTGAAACAAAATCTTGTCAATAGCTGATTCACCACAAAAGTCTTCTCCCTGGAAATCAATGAATGCTAAAATATCTTGAAATCAGATCCTCCCAAATGCGGCTCCTGGCTCTGTCTGTGCCTCTGTACCTGATAATGCAGCAGCGTGTTCAGCCTCTTCCAGTCACTCTCGATCTTTGTTGTGATGTCCTCGTCTTGAAGGACCACTCGTGCTGTCCTGCCCTGACGCCACTCTGAAAGATCAATGTGACAAGCTTTTGAGAAAAATCGTCTTCAGTTCCTGCCGCTATGTGTCCGTGCCCAAAAATTGAGGTCATTTGCGGTAACTTTGAATAGCAATGTACTTCTCTATTTTTTCTTTTTTTTTGGCTCGTGTCTTTGTTGACATTGAGAGGTTTTGACTCCCGTCTGAAGGCTGGGGTAACTCACTTTGTCTATTAACAGAAATACTCCCAGAGCAGTCAATTTGATGGCTTTTAGTTTTTGATTGTTTGGTATTTACTCGGCTCGTGTAATTTTTTTTTTTATCTTCATAACTTCTGCTTCTATGTTTAGTTTATTTTATTTTTTTAATTATCTTTTAATTTGAAATGGAGGAGAGATGGTAGATAAGAGCGAGCCCTAGTAACCATGGCAGCGTACTATTCATTTTTTTATAATTTTTTTTGCACTCCTAAACTTTTCTAAAGGACTTTGGGTGATCTGCGAAATGCGCTATCCAAACCCCTAACCCTCAGTTTTTTGTCTTAAATCTAGTTTTTAGTCTTAAATCTAGTTTTTAGTCTTAAATCCTTTTGGGAGCTACCTGAGAGGGGGTGGTAGCTCCCGACCTACAGGTTGGACACCCTTAGTCTAAACATAAGGAGACTATATGAACTTTATAATTGTATTAGGATATTCAAATTATTTAAAAAAAAAATAGTTTCAAAACAAGCTGTTACCTTGTGTACTTTTTAAATTTGTCGCCCACGTCTCCTTTACAAATCAGTGAGCTCTTGTGAGAACTAAATGTTTTCAAGCGCTGTAATATATCCCGCCCACTAATCCGCATAATGAGGGGATAATGTTATTCACTTAACCTGTCAGTGGTCATAATGTTATGCCTGATTGTTGCTGAAGTTAGTCAGAGATGCCAAAGGAAATGTCAACGACGGCTTCTTCCATGTTTTTTTATCTGACAACAGGTCTGATTAGTATTCGGTAAACAGCCATCCACTGACATTGTGTTCACTATTATCCGGATTCGCCAGTCGACTTGTTGTTGTAAGTGTAAAACCTGTAAACCCCCTTTTACTCAGCTCTGTCCGACGGTGCCTAGAGGTGCGTTTCTCTTTCATGTCCCGTCAGGCTGGATCTTTTGGCGCTGAGGTGACGCGTGGTAGGAGGGAGTGTAGGAGTGCTGTCACCCAGGTTTACTGTCAGTGTTTGAGAGGTGCCCTGATTACCCCAGTGTGAACAGGTACGAGAGAGAGAGAGAGAGAGAGAGAGGGGGGGGGGGGTCTGTCCCTGTCATATACACTAAAGACAGTAAATACACTCAAATAATTGGCCAGAAACAGCATTAGTCTTTTAATATTGTATTAAAGGAAGCAAGAGGGAGAAGTGAAGCTAGGCTATTAGGCTTTTTTTTTCATCTTCTGTTTGTGGGGCGACAGTAGCTCAGTTGGTAGAGCATTGGCCTTTGAGCCTGAAGGTCGTGGGTTCGAGCCCACCGTAAGACCTACTTCACGACTCCCACTGATGACTGCTGTCGTTGTGTCCTTGGGCAAGACACTTAACCCCACTTTGCCTGAAGCTCCCACTGAAAGATCTCAGCTCCTGTGGACTCACCACCTGCAGGAGGATCAGTGAGGGGCAGGTGCTCTGTGTGCTGGGTGGCATCTCTGGCCACCCCCCCGACCCAGAAATGGATTAAGGGGAAGAAAATGGATGGATGGATGGATGGATAATTTTGAATCGATAATAATTGCCTTACCAATTCCACCAAAAACACATGGAATTATTATTAAACACGTAACGATCCTAATCGTAAAACAGTTTGTGTCTAAATTTGTGCTATATTTGGCCGCTGTGTTTACACTGAACACGGCTCGACAAAAAGACAAAAGGTGAGTTGAAAGCCGATCAGCAGCGAGGGGCGATCAGTGAAAAAGTGTTTTTGATCAATTTGAAATGACCAAAAACCATAAGTAAATGTTTGCATTTGTATTATCTTAAAATAAGCTATATTAATCATATTATAAATTATGATATTATACGCATATGTTATAATTACAGGAGGAGCGCACATTTAAACTCCATGAGAAGCATTCCTGGAAAATTTAATTTATAAGAATCACATGAATTCCAGAGCATATAATCTAAATCACAAATAAAAAATGAACAAAAAAAGGATGTGTTGTTCTTTGCAGAGCTCTTTGCTTAATCTGCTTGTTTTCATGGCGGAAAGACGGTTTTCATTTTCATTTCCAATTTTCTATTGGTAAATCAACAATCCTGTCTAGAGGTGGAAGTGATTTTAAAACTGTTTACATAAATACCTAGATTGGAGGATTTTTAGAAATGTTGTATTTCTTTTAATGCATGCCTTATTCTATTTTTACATTTATAACGTGTTTGCACCGCGGGCCAAACCAATTTCCTGTTACTCACAATGGCAATAAAAATATTTCTGATTCACAGGGCATTGGATTATGGAACTGCACGTTTGACAGCCATATTCCACATTCCACATTCTTACCCAGATCCATGTCTCCCGCCCTGGGCCTCTGTGAGTATGGCATGTTCTTGTAGACCGCATCCAGGATCTTCTCCTTCACCTGGCTGATGGTGTCACAGTTGAGCACCTTGACGGGGATCTCGGGGCTGTTCTCATTGTCTGGATTCACACAGCTCAGCGTCTGGGGGCGGAGGAAGCAGGCGGGGAAGAGGTGTTGCTTAGTAGGAAGGTGCTTTCATTACCTGCTCCTCACCAAACTGTCCTGGTGGAGAGGATCTTGGCCTCAAATGTAATTTCACACCTTCCAGGATGTGGTGGTGTGGCTCTGGCAGGTATTAAACCAGTAATGAGACACACAGGCTCCGCAGACAGAGACATGTGATCAGAGAGGTGTCATCCTGTCGCTGGCTGCTCTGCTCCACGGCTAAAGCCTGGGGGAAACTTATTCACAGGGACCCAGCCGGCTTCATTTTAATGGAAAAGTAACTGTGCGGTGGAAAACTTTGAGGTTTCACTGAAAAAAGGTTGCAATCAATTTGGACAGCGAGGAGAAAAGGGGCTGATAGTTCTGCCAAAACTAATATTTCCATTTGAAAATTATTATTACCATTTCCCTATTTTGATACAAAAATAGAGTTGTGTATGTCAGCTGCTGCAAGTGAAAGAAAGAAATACTATTTTCTATCAAAAATACTTTAATCTTCACCATAATAGTTTTAATCTGATTGCAGTTCTCACAGTATAATTTCCATTTAAACTTATTTTTGTTTCACCCAAAATTATTACGGCAGTCATCTTAAAGGGGGTCATAGAATCGCCAACAACAGATTACAAAATTAAACAAATAAGAATAATTAATACAGCAACAAAAACATAAGATAACGGGTTAAATAATGTCCATAAATATTGTGAATCGTATGTTGACTGAGTGTCGATGTTACCCATACTGTTTGTCGAATGCAGAAGAAGCCGACTAAAAGGCCATATTAGCGAGTTTTGGGGCCGTATTCCTAATAAGAGGCATTTAGGGTTAGGGTTAATATAATCTTTAAACGCTCAGGAACCTATGGCTCGGGAGTCAGATGTGGTTTTTTGATTATTGTGTCTGGCTCTCAGACAAATCTTAGATCACTAAGACTAAGATACTCTAAATGTGTTGATCTTGAAAAAAAAAATTCACACATACTGTATTCACGGTAAAAACGGTATGGCTCCCACAGAAATACATTTAAAAGTGTGAGACTTTTTTGGCTCTCAGCTATAAAGGTTTCCGACCCCAAGGCTATTCGGCTCGTCAATCATTTTGGCTAAAATCTTAGAACCACAGAGAACCGAGTTTGTTTATGAAATAGGATTTTGTATGCGTCTTATCATAAAACAATGCTTTTTGACCACATTTAAATGTCCCAGTACGGCCTTCCAGGAAGATCATTACAGTTTTGTTAATCCTGGACTGTAAAACACAAAACAATGTGTTCTGATGCAGAAGTTTGTTTTAATATCTTCCTTTGAACAGCGCTTTTGACGAAAACAGACAGTGGTAAAAGTGTTCTCCAACACAGTGTGAAACTTTGTGAACACTGAGCACAACAATTTAATCTCCACAAAGAGCCTCATTAATCCTGGTTATTATCTGCAGCTATTACAAAGGCAGCGCTCTCAACTGCTGTTTTGCTTTGTGCGGCGGAATGACTCACCAGCGTCTTGTATTCGATTTGTTGTCGGATGAGTTTGTCTTCGCTCAGGGAGTAGCGAGCCTCTCCCGTGATGGAGTCAATGGGTCCTTTCTCCATTTGTTGCTTGATGGCACAGAACAGCATGAAGAGGGGCTCTCCAGCACACTCCTGTTTTATATTCCAAGGTAAAAAAAAAATGGAGAATGCAATCAAAGTGAGGAGAGGGAGATGGGGTCGATTCCAGAGAATGAAAAATAAATCAGTGATTTTCAGAGAGGGAAATGAGGAGTTTGATGAGTGTGTTACTGTTGTTGGAGAAGGCGCTGTGTGGGAAATAAAAGCAGATCTGTACGAAATATACACATACATATTTTCACGTTGGTATCCTTGAGAGAAAATTTGAAATGGACATGGGTTGTTGTTGTGACATTTTATCCAAATAAGCTGTTTAAGTTGATAAAAGGGATTGTAAATAGAAGGTTCTTAATTGATTTAATTAATCAATTTAATTAATTAATCCTATTGTTGTATTGTACGGTGGGACATAGGGCTCCCCGTTATTGTTTCATTATTTGCCGCTATGAGAATAGGGTCAGAATATTTTCAACTTTAAAGTCACAGTGTTATGAGATGAAAGTCGAAGGCATAATATTATGAGATTAATCTAGTAATATTACGAGAATAAACTCTAAGTCAGAAAATATCTACAATTGTCTACATTATGCACCGACTGTGATTTTTTATCTCATAATATTTTGTGTTGTTTCTCACAATATTTTGACTTAAACTCAGAAAATGTTGCCTTTAAAGTCAAAATATTCAGACTTTAATCTCATAGCATCTGCCAAAAAAAAAACAAAAAACGAGTGCGCCCAATGCTTCGTTGTAGCGATGATGAAGCCGAACTGTCACTCGTTCTAAATAATCACATCTAAATAATTTTGGTATTCTAGTTTTGTCTTTTTGAGTACATGAAATAAAGAATTACTGAAAATGTTTTACATAAATATTGATAATTTGAAAATAGATACAGATTTAAGTAATACTGATTAAAGATTAAAGACTAGCCAATCGTATTTGAGTCATAATAAAGAAACTAATCTTTATCTAGATAGTGTATTGTGTCATGCTTATCGAGAAGTGAGTCGTGTCAAAATAAAAAAATTATTTATCATGTTTTGTTTTTGTTTTCACTAATAGTAATTTGCTTAGCAGTCACTCGTTTAGTTCCCATCTCATGTCAATCAATGCGTGGGTTATTATCTATCAAGTCAGACTGGAATAATCTACATCCGTATTTGTGCAGGACGGCCTATTTGAAAATCAGCAGCAGTAATTTAAAGCATTACTCCCGTCTATCTGGCTGACACCTGTAGAGATATGGTGCGACAGAGCTTTGATTTTACCTTGAGAAACTTGTGGAGCAAGAAGGCAAACCAATTTGTTAGCATCTTCTCCGCCACTGACTCGGTTCTGCCAGACAAGAAAGAAACACACATTTGTTAGAAGAGACAACGTCCCACTGCGAGCCTGAATGCACTGATTATTCTTGTATAATTTAAGAGCCACAAGAGCTCGCCTGAATGGGAGACTGAAAACACAACAGCTGCTCTATAGGGGGTAACTTTGTAAAAACAAGCCAGATTTGGTGATTGTCATTGTACTACAGCATAAATTCTTGCCCAGTGGCTCATAGATCACGCACTTAAAGCATATTTGGGTCATGACATAATTAAGCCCGGATCCTGGATGGCCACTTCAGGCTCTTTCACACACTTCTGCTTCGCTTAACTATTTGACATAAGGCCAAATACAAAACTGCCCATGGCTCCAGGGGAAAAAATACATCAGTAGCCAAACAATAAAAAGGGCCCTCTCTTTTTCATGAAATGTTGCCGTACGTTGGTAATTTGAAAAACATTTGAAAAGCACAAGAAGTAACTAGTTTCTGGCTAAAACAGTTCCGCCTCACTCAACCAAATAGCTATCATCCAAAAGCGTGTCTATCAAGTATGCCAAAGATTTAACACTACGACTCCCAGAATTCTGAGACCACTCGAACTTCCAGAGCAGTCATTTTGACGGCTTCCATTCAAATCAATGGAATTCTGAAAATATCCCAAAAAAAAAACAGTTTGAGTTTTCACAAATTTGATTAATATGATTCTTACGTCTTTTTAAATCTTTAATACATGCTTAAACTGGATAATATAACTGTAATACAGGAAAAATAATACTAACTGCTTTATGTAAACGGTGTGTTGCTATGGTAACTACAACTTGCTCCAAGCTGAGATAGCTCTGAAAAAAATCGAGGATCGAGATAATTTCATTGGAAATAAACTACATATAAAAAACAGAAAAAGTCACAAAGTTATGAAGTCCAAAAACATACATAAGCAGAGGAATTAAAGGTAGAGGTAAAGGTGAGCTCTTTTAGGGCAATTCATCCTCTGTATTTGACCCATACTGATGCCATTGGCCTTCTGTCGCCGTAGTACAACACCCGGGAACCAATCTCCAGATGTTGATGCTCAGCTTGGTCAGGACTACCAGAGCTGGAGGATTTACCAAACGTGCATTTTTTCCGTGGCACTCGGAGGAAACCTACACAGACGCGGGGAGATCATCCACTCAGAAAGACCCTGTTCTGACTGGGATTTGACCTTCTAGCTGAGAAGCGAGAGTGCTATGATGGTGGATAGATAGCTCTGGTGCGCCAAGTTCCCCTCTCTGTGTGCTTCATCTTCCACACTCAGCCACCTACTCAGCCACCGTGCCCAAAATAAAATAAAACAGCCAAATTGACTGCTCTGAGACTTCTAGTGTAGAAGCCCTTTCCGCGATGTCTTCTGTTGTGAATTAAGGCATTACAAAAAAAAACATTGGAATGAATACATGAATGTGCTCTGGTCAACGCACTCACTTTACAAGACTGCGAATCGTCAATAAAAAAGCGAGCTACCCCAAAATAAATTTGAATAAAAACATGTCCAATCTTGACCATAAGCAAACTACAGCTGGAAGTAAACCCCTTGTTAAAAAGAAAGGGGGGAAAAGCTCATGAAAGATTCAGGGAAGTAGTCTCAGCGATGGGAAAACAATTGGTAGTCAAGTAGAGGTAGCGCCATGAAGAGGAAGAAAGGCGAGAGGTGATGGTGAAGCACGAAACCTAAGCCACGGTTGAATTTTTCATGAGCGCCACAGCGAACAGGATCCTGACTGACAACAGCTATGCAGCACTCACTCTTCCATATTAACTTCTCTTCCTCTGCAAGTTCCTCCCACTCTCTATAACTCTGCGCTCTTTCACCGGTCCGCCCGCTTGTTTGGCCGTTTCATGCCACTGCACAAAACAAAGCGGAAGTCTACACTACAAGTCTACACTGCAAAAAAGTGATCAAAATAAGTCCGAAATTGCTCAAATATGGCAAAATGTATCTTAATTTGAGCAGATTTTGACCGCATTAAAAGAAGATTTGCCAACAGGACAAGCAAAATGATCTTGTTATAAAAAAATGTCTTCTTTGGAATGAGAAAGTGAGTGGATAGCGCTCTCGCCTCTCAGCAAGAAGGTCCTGGGTTCGAATCCCGGTCGGAACAGGGCCTTTTCGAGTGGAGTTTGAATGTTCTCCCCGTGTCTGTGTAGGTTTTCTCCGGGTGCTCCGGTTTCCCCTACCACTACAAAACATGTACAATAGGTCTAAATGTAATGAGTGAATGGATGGTGCTGGTTGGGGGCTTTGATGACTTGACTCTGAAAATTGTAAAGCGCTTTGGGTGACCTTGGTCTGTAAAACGCGCTATATAAATAAACGCTAATTACTTACTTAATTACTCAAATTATGATAAAAACTTCCCATTTCCAGCAATTATAACTTCATATATTTGATCATGTTTTGCTGTGTATAGGTATAGAACCAGATTTAAGTGGAAGCCAAAAGTTGTATGAGCCTGAGTTTAAAACTACTTTGTGTCTCTGTGCGAGATTTTGCTCAGAGGAACAACTGGACAAATGAGTTAAAAACATGTTTACATCTGTTACTGTTTAAAAAGCTGCTCAAAAATCAAAAAGTATGGAGAGGAGTGAGGACTTGAGCACAGAGCAGGTGGTGGGAGGGAGGTGTGTGGTCAGAGAGTGTTTGGGCCTGTGTCTTATTGTGTGTTTTGTGCTTGTGTTGTGCCATGTGTGTTGGGTTGTGTTGAATGAGTGAGAGGAGTTGGAGTCAAATAAGCAAAATAATACACAGAATTAAACCGTTCCAAACCTTCTTTTTCAAACGCTTTAATTCTTGTTTTGTTTTTGTATCTGTGTTACGGCCCAAGCCCCTTAATTCCTTGTTATCGGCAAGTACATAAAATAAGGTACTCGTACTTGTATAGTTTTTTAACAATCCGTTCATTGTTCATTGTTTCATTTTGTATAATAACATTCTAACTACTACTCTACTCCAGTAGCAGCAAAAATGAAAATAAATTGGTAGTTTTAAAAAGCTAAAAACAGTAATAATAAGCAACAGCCGTTCAGGTCACAGCAGCAGAGATGATTACTATTCTACCATCAGAAGGAGTTGCAAACTGGACTAGAAAGAACAGCACACACGAGAATTATTATTGCCAAAACATAAGCAGCAGCACTGATCAAAAATTGTCAGCTTTGGGACATGGGGGACTTTAATTCGTCCTCTGAGTGGTATTTATAGAGGAAATGAGGCTATAAAGTGTTGGCTAACCCAAATAACATCCGCAGTATACTTTAGGGCATGGGCAGGATTTACTCCGCTAATCTGTTTTGTAATAAACCAACAATAAATACTTATCAAATTGAGTCAACTGTGGACTTGGAGTTAAGATATCTTTACTGGATGTATTTATTCTAGTTTATGCACAGCAAACATGGATCACATCATCACAAATAGAGAATGATTAATGCAGGGATCGGTATTCACTCATTTAAATATAATGCAATTTGAACATATTTGACAAATCATGTCCAGGTCTGGATCTAATCACTCAAACTAAAACTTTATTATGCTTAATTAGGATGGAGGAGGTCTTCTAACTTTCCATAAAAAGTGCTGCTTTTGGACATTTGGAACCCTTTATCAGAACGTGCACACACACACATGCACGTACACACACACACACACACAGACAAACATAGACACAGACCCTCCATATGATTTCCTCCCATAATTTTTAAGTTACAAAAACCGCAGTACTTTAACTAGTTCCATGTGATGTTCCATTTTGAATGCAGGTTAGTATGAAACGTGTCGATAGATAATTGTTATTTTTCCGTTTGGATTTTTTGAGTTTATTTCACCTTTTATTTTTATCTATTCCTTCGTTAAGTTATGTTGGCATTGCTGACATTCTAAAGAGTTTACACAACCTTCAGAAATGTTGAAGACAATGATGTTGTTATACTTTGGCCACATTTCAGACATCATGATAGATAATGCCAACACTTTTGCAATTGTGTGAAATCATTTATTATCATAAATTCTCGTCTTTCTTCAAATTCTTCTTTTTCCAAATACTCAAATAACCCTGAGTAGAAGTTAAATCCCCCATTTTCAGTGTTTTTCTTTTCTATCTTTTCTGATGATAGATCTGTACATTCTTGTGGGCCAAATACTTTATGTACATTTTTTAACACAAAAACACTACCGTTTACACCGTCCCCTAAAAAGCCTACAGTAAGGTTTATCTTAAGTGTAGCTTGGTTTACCGGCGCAGCAGTAGTTTGGGGTGGTTCTTGCTCTCCAGGTTGCGCTCGATGAGGTCAGAGAGCAGATGTTTCAGGATGTCGGTGGCGTACTCCAGCCGGCCCTGCAGAGCCGTCATGATCAGCGACGCCACGTAGCCGCGGTCGCGCATGGAGAAGGAACGCTGCAGCTCCAGGGTCCGGATGAAGGTCAGGAGGAACACCTTGTTATTGACCAGCTGCGCAAACTGCTTCAGAGCCTTCTCCACGCCCACCTGACCACTGCCATGCACCTGCACACACGGCCACATCGGATTACTTATCAGGGCTTTACGGAGTCTTATAAAGGCTTGATTTATTGTGTTTGAAATCAGGGCCAGTCCTACCAGCTGTTACTGCTATTTCTGTTATTCAAGAACTGTTATGTAATGTGGGATATTTGTTTACATGTATTGTTTTTGGGGCCTGCCTATAAGCTGCTTCCAGGGAGATTCCCTTTATGAAGCACCCACAAACTTTAGATATTAGAATGTGTATGACTTGTATGACTATCAAGTTTTGTAAATACTCATAATAGATGTGTTAACTACAAGATTACTGTTTCTGAATTATTACGCATTAGCTTATGATGCCATTGCATGTGGTTGATAGAGCATTTATTGTGGCTCATAAAGTACACTTAACTGTTATGTTCGGCACATCTCTGTCTCCAACAAACTCTAAATAGTGGGAGTATGTCCAGCTTTAAAATGTACAGTACTATTGTCCGATGTAGTGCCTGCTTCTGCTTCAGCTTCAGCCGTCTTCTACCGGAAAGGATTTTTGTTTTTATTTGTATATCATTTTGGAAGATTCTAATAACAAATTGAATCCATCTCACGATAAAAACACATATCTCAAACCCCACAGGGTTAATTGTTGAACAGATAAACAAGATTCTTTAATGGAATAGAACATGTATGTGCAACGTTTTACAACTTTTTAACACGTTATTGTTTGGCCCCGTCATTACTTCTCAACAATCCAGTATTTGAAAGTACATCTTTGACATAAATCTCATGTGACGCTCGCTTGCCTCAGTGAGCTGCAGTGAGCTGGGCCCTGGAAACACATTCTGCTTGGAGCCTCCTGAAAACTAGAATCGGCACTGGTTAAAATATGAATGTTGTTTTCTGTTCGCAATCGGAATGACATTCAAGGTTTTGGAAACATGGCACTGGCAGAACAAGCAGCGCTCTGAATGACAAAATGAGGGAAATGTAATTCTCAAGCAGTTTGAATATTTGAATATTCATAAGTGCCAAAAGGTTTGGGCTGAAAATTAGGAGATGATTGCATACTTCCTCCTTCATGGCGTGAGTTTTGGTATTATATTGTGTTTATACTATTTTATTGTTTTTACTTCATGCATTTCATTTCAATTTCAGGCACTTTGGAAACTTGTTTTATATAATGTGTAATATAAATTGGATTGGAAGTGGATTGGACTGGATGGCAGGAGGCCAGTCTCAGTCCGATTTGGTTTATATGGCACTAACAAGTCTTGCATGTAAAAATGTAGCTCAAACTTGGAAAAGCTGGATTGGTGCATGTCTAATTATTTTATTTGTAAGACACTATTGGATATAAGATAGTAAACAACTTTGATAGACCTTTTGAAAGGATGTGTCCGTTAGCTGCTCTGCTGAGTGCTGAGGAGATGGACATCCACTCACATCTGCCCTCGACACTTTGACAGATCTCACCAATGCAATAAATCAGAAAGTTTCGAGTATATTCCAGACATAAGGGGAAAGACTTCAACCCGAAAGCGTGGATCAGAGAGACGCTCTTGACTCACCTCCAGCTCTCGAAGCACCGGGTGATCATCGATGCCGGGGAAGAGGACTCTCATGGCGTAAGTGCGGTAGTCCAGGTACGGTATGCCGGCCCGGTCCAGGTCACTGGTCAGCTCATTGATGTCTGTCTGGAGCTCGGCAAAGGCTGCAGATTAAAGAGTTGACCTGCTATCAATATTTTAACTATGAACGATTTGAAAATGGCAGCATCCAAGTTGAACAGGACATATCCTTGGAAGCCAGGTAAAAGCCGGTAAAAGTACAAGAATACATCAAACTTTTAGAGCAACACTTCTTACTTTGCCAAGTGCAGTCACTTCCTTATCATGTTAAAGATAGAGATTTTATACTTGTTTCTTTGACGCTAGAGTTAGAGATTTATCTTATTTTAATTAGTATAGCTATTGTTCATTTATCTTGTGCTGTGTGCTCTTCATTCCTACTGTTCTGTAATTTGTGAAGCAACACTGACATTTTCCTACTGTGGGATGAATAAAGGATCTATTAAAGACGCTTTACAAAACATACAAAAATAAACATTGAAGAACAAGGCCCCCCAAATTACATTTGTACCTTCTGTTTTAAGTCTCGTCTAAAGACCCATTTTTATGCTTTGGCTTTTATTTTATTTTTTACTGTTATGTTTTTGTATATACTTAAATGTGTGTGTGTGTGTGTATATATATATATATACTGTATATATTCTCCTATTAAGATTTCTAATGATTTGTATTATTGATTTCTTTTAATCAGTCCTTTATTGGGCAGCAGCTTGGAAACTTGTGTTCATGAAATGCGCTATATAGCGGTGGCAAAGGCTTGGCCCCCACTTTCAGCTCAGACACAATCACAACTTACAAATAATTCCATCTAATTCAAATGTTGTATACAGTTGTTAGGCATGGGACAGGAATATATATGTATAAAGATGATCTTGTGAGATTTCTTTTGGCTTACGGAAAACAGGTGCTGTGAGAGAAGATCACCAAACGCAGAGTCACAATGATAAAAAGATGCAAATTGTGAACATAACTTTTGAAGGTATTTGTAGTTTTCTTCAGGATGAAAAGAGCCAATATTCAGTCTTGTCACACTCCCAACACTTGTACAAATAGTACAAAGTAATATTGTATTCATTAGAGATACGACATTGGAGTAATATCCAATTAGCTTTTTGTATTTCAACACAACCTGACTTGTTTGTTGTTTGCTGACCTTCTTTGCACTCCAGGGCCACGCGTGACTCCAGGTTGTCCATCTGCATCTGCAGCCTCTTCAGAGTGAGGTCGTTCTCGTGGGACTTGCGCCTGTAGGCCAGCAGCACCAGGATCACGATGATCAGGAGCATCCCACCTCCGGCTGCAATGCTGAAGATAGCAGGCATCGTGAGCAGGCTGTCCGAGCGGATGTGCACCTCCCCCGGGGAAATGTGGAGGCCTCCGACTTGGACCTGTGTCGTGAGAGGAATGCATTCTGTTGTATTAAATATAGGCTAAAAGGCGATGTGAATTAGATTGACCTGAAATTGAACTCTGTCTGTCTCCAAGCAAAAAGAAAGACCTTGTATTGCCCTACTCCCCTTGTCCCATTTTGTCCAAAGTGCATGGGTGAGTTAATGATAGTTAATCTGGGGGGATTCTGCTAATCCTTTCAAGTTGTGAAAGAAGGAGATGGAGTCCAGAATCTGGAGGAGAAGCCTTGAGATCCCTCTGCCTTATCTCAAAGGAACTAATAAATCGATAGAATTAGGGAGGGGTAGTGCGTGAATGATTGTTGAGGTTCAGGTTGACTGACTGTTCAGGTTTGGCGAGACGGAGGAAAAGGCCGGACCTTGGACCAGACATCTGCCTGATACGACACGCCCCCTTCTTCCCCTTGCACATTTACTTATAATAACCTCATGCTTGTGTTAGTCTAGACCGGACCAGGGACAGGAGTGTGATTTGCGTGGAGCGCCCACCAAAATCATACTTTTATATTTTATATAGAGAATAAGGGATAGTTACTTTTGGTCCGAACAGCTGTTTTAGATTCTTTTTGTATTAGGGAAATAAACCTTTTTGAATTTAACTTTCTGAATCATGGTCATCTTTATAAGGGATTTTGAACACGTCATTTTTTAATATAATAATTGGTGACCCCGACGTGATCCCTTTGATGACTTTCAACCTCTCCCTTGGACTCTGCATCTCTCCTCAAAGCGGCCGCTGAACTGAAGGTAAGCAGATACCTTTTGACTAATTAAAAATCTGCATATTGGACTACACAAATTAAGGGGAGAGAAGTTTTGTCCACGGAGGAGCTAATTCAAAAAGTAAAAATAGTAAAAGCCTAAAAAGTAGTGAGAGCCTTGCGAAAATACGTTAAAATTAAATAAAATAGGAGTCTAAGTAGCTAGAACCCTGCGAGAATACATTAAAAGTAAAGATTTTTTGAGAAGCCTTGCCAGAAACAGGAAAGCCCGCTGTGACTAGCGTGGTTGACGGACGCGTCAACACACAAGTTAGGTTTTCACCATTGGAACCTGGGGGAATTTTGGGCCCCCCCCGAAAAATGGAGACAGGCATTCCAATCGAGCAGCTATATAGAGAAATAGAGGCTCAGATTCTGAGTGGTCTGGATAAAAAATATAGGAACAAGGCAAAACGAAAGGCTGTGAAAGCATGGGAAAAAATACAGAACAAAAGGGTCATACCTGAGTATATGACAGCGTCCGCATTGGCTAAGATATTGCGGGAAGAGGAAAATAATTTAAAACAGCATAAACTTGAGCTTGAGGGAAAGCAGGGAGAGAGTTGGAATGAGCGTAGAAAAATTAAGAAGGAACTAAAAAAGGCTGAGAAACTGAGGACCAAGGTACATAATTTTGCTTTGGCTGCCACGGCGTTGGCAAAATTACCGATGGTAAGTAAAGACAAAGTAACAGAAAACGGAGCAATGCCGGTGAGTAATATATACCCATCCCTACCCACGGCTCCACCAAAATATTCTCTAGGTTTAGAACCAGGTAAGCCAAATCTAATATTGCCACAATATACATTTTCAGGAGAAGTGGCGGTAGGAAAGAGAGGGGACAATGACTTTGTAGACAGTGAATTTGACGAAGGGACAGAACAGGAGTCTGTGGGGGACAATAGAGATCCGAGTCAAAATCCAGCTGTCAGCAGCCCGCCACAGCTCCCACACACCCCTCACCAACCCCCACCCATCCAAGAGGTGCAGGAGCTGCTCCTGCACTCTCTCAGAAATATTAGAGCTAGGAAACCGACCTCTGAATGCACCACAGACAGAGTTGAGGGAGAAGAAACCCCAAGTAGGACCCATGATTACGAGACCGCTAGACAGGAGAATGCAAAATTAATTAATAAAGCCGCACGCAGAGCCATGACTAGGACGGACAGTGAAAATGAAAAGGGAGACGGTGCCATGGCCCAGCCAATACTTAAAGCTAAACAGGCTAAAAAAGGAGCTAAATTCTCTTCTGACAGTAGTGATGACGGAGACCAGGAGCCTGGAGAAACTAGACCGGTGGCAAGCAGAACCAGGTCTCAGACAAAGTCCATGTTCCCTCTGAGACCAGGACGAGGCGCAGCTGGGGAGTACCATCCTTTTTCTGTAAGTGACATGCAGACTATAAAAGACAAAATGCCTCCATTGTGTCAGGGAGCTGGAAACTGGATTTCCAGTCTGAACACATGGTTTACAGGTCATGATGTCGCGATGGGTGACGTCCGGGCAGTGATGGCAGCATGCAGTAAACCATGGGAGAGAGATGCTATTGAAAGACAAGCTGGTACTGCTGATGTTTGTGATTCTTCCAGATTTGGCCAGTATGCAAATGCCTGGTATGAAGCACTGAGGGAGAACTTTCCAACCCCGCTGTCTTCTGCCCCTCGTGAGTTAACTTGGCTGGAGTCTGAGGACCCAATTGTATTTTATGACAGGAGTGTGACCAAGTGGATGGACACAGTAGGAAGACACCCTCACAAGGTCAGTGAAGTCATGCCTTTTAGAGCAGCTATTTTGAATGGTTTACCAGAAACAATACGCTCAAAGATTGAAGACAACCCAGATAATATTAACCCGGATTCAGCACAGTGGAAAACAAATTTAATCTTTCACATTAAGCGATATGTTGAAAATAAAACTAAAGAAAGAAAGAGTGTTGAAGATATGACTTGTCAACTTTTGAAGTTACAGCTTAGTGAAGCGAGAAATAAAGCCACCCAAAATAAAAAAGGAACCATTAATCAGATGACTAATATGCCTGCTGGACTTCCCACTCCACCACGACAGGACTGGACAAGGGGAGGGGCCAGAGGTGGTGGGCGTGGGGGCCGGGGAGGAAGAAGGGGTGGAAGCTGGAAAGGGGGCAGGGATGTGTGTCACCTCTGTTACAGGCACGGTCACTGGGCGAGGGACTGCCCCTTTGAAGGAGAGGCCTCCTACTACCATGGAGCGCCTGAGATGGTGCGTGGGAGGGGCCCCCAGAGAGGCATGGGACCCAGACCAGAGCGCGCAGGCCCTCCCTCCCCATGGACGGCTCCGAATGACAACCTGGCCCCGAGAGATGGACAATATTTCCAGCATGGGAACTACTGGGGCGAGTATGAACATGAACAATCTTACTAGGGCTGCCTAGGAAATCCAGGGGACAAGGTACCAGCAGAGCCTATGCTCCCCATAAGGGTGGAGGACGACAACCTGATGGCCCTGGTGGACACTGGCGCCACCTACTCTACCATCAATACAAAGATACGCCCTGTCCTGCTCTCTGAGGAGCACATCACCCTGGTTGGATTTTCTGGGACACCTGAGGTACTGCCACTCACTAAACGTTTAACACTAGGAGCGCCCCTAGCGGTCAACTGACCGTCACTCACTTTAATATGCTAATTAGTGTATTCAAAACAAAACGCCAGAAGTTGAAATTTTATGACTTTTTCTAGGTACTTGTTGTTTATATTTTGGTGTGTTTTGGTTTTGGAAAAAGTAAAGAAAACAAGATTTACACGCATTTTAACTTTTATAAACCACAGCCCTTTCTGCTTCCCCATGGAGATACATGGCGCAGGGGCGACTGTTGTCATAGTAACCTTTCCCGGGGGTTTTTCGCGCCTTATAAAAATGTATCAATATGTTTTCATTAGACTCTAAAGGGACTTTTTTATTATTATTTGGGAGAGAGGGAGGAGTACAAAATGAATAGAGCTGCAAGTACACGGTAGAAGCCCTGACAGTGCTTCAAGACATTGAATGAGAACAGTCTGACGGAGGTGAGAGATGTCACATTTTGAGGTAGAAAGTGACAGCGGGGAGAACACCTATAATATTCTAAATCTGAACGTAAACCCGTAGTGCATTCACGGCACGGACAGCAGTGTTGTAACAAGTCCAGAAGCAATAACGCACATGACCCGCGTAATGCCAGCCATACGCAGGTGTCTGTGTGCGCGCTGTCGCTCCATTCTGCCTTTTCATTCATCATCAATTACATTATTATATTTATACATACAAGAAGGCAATACAGCAGAATACAATATCGCAATAAAATAGAACAATTAGATGAACTATCAAGGCAGAGTGCAGAGAGAGCGCTGTGAGGCCTCTCGTCACCCGCGGACACTGCAGGAGGAGAGCGGCTGTGGCAGAAGCGGCCCTCATCATATCAATAAGGATATCATTCTTATTTCATTCAGATAACACTGTGTGTTATTCTGCACAGCGCGCACTGCAAGGCAATGATTATAATGTTGTTCTGAGCATAAAGAGCACTGCTTGTCTCAAATAAATACAAATATATATACATATATTTGTACAAATATATATACATATATTTGTATTTCTAACGTGTCCCGTGTAAAATTGAAGATTGTACATTGGCGATGGTAGCCTAGCTGATGATCTTGTGTCAATACGAATATTATTATTATCTAGATAATATTTCCCACGGTGATTTCGGCCTCTAAAAAGAAAACAGTCTGGAGATGACGTAAGAAGTAGACGCATATAGCAGCGCGAAGACGTTATGGTCCCGTGCTTTTCTAAACTATAATTTATATTGTTTGAATTTACATATTGTTATTGAGTCAAATATAACATATAGTGACCGACCTTTTAGGTGTTTGCAAAGTTACAAAATAAATCTAGCCTGAAAAGTCATCGTAATTTTGATGGATCAGTTTACGCACAATGTGTCGTCTTAGTCTTTTATTTCGGCTAGAATTACAATTACTTAGCATATTTAGACAAATAATTTACACAGTTTCATTATGATCACGATTCCTTTGCAACATCAAGTTCTGGTTTAGTGAACAATCATTTGGCAAAAGTCTGTATCAGCGCAAAATACATAGCGGTCAACTGACCGCAGGGGCGGGTACAAGGTATGTTTAGAGCACGGCGGTCCTAGTGCGCAGAAGGAGAGCCCACCTGTGGCTGCTCCACGCGCTCTACACCAGGACGCACGGGGGACATCACTGTATCTCCCGCCGTCACCCGTTCAAGCCAATCCATTTTGCTACACAAAGTCAACGCCACTTGCGTTGGTTCAGCCACCAAGGCTTCTAAAACAAATGTAGCCATCACTCACCGGACGTAAAGTAATCACGGATCCTGATCACAGCTGATCCCACTCACAGCTGACCACACCTGCTGCTGCTCTCCACAACTACACGCCCCCTGGGATGTGCCAAGTACGCGCCCGCACACAGCTGCGCTCAAAACTTACGCACACCCACGCACACTCACGGGGAGAAAAAAAGTTATGCAGGGTGCGTTAAAGACAATCAAATCCTGTAGTTAAACACAAGAATTGAACCCAGACTCCTACTCAGGAACAACTAGACCTAGATATCTTCTGGGACTTGCCGGGCTGACAGATCGCTCACAGTCTCATTATAAATTTCCATGTAAGACACTCTGAGCAGGAATTCCTTTGAACGTAGCAGTTTAAGGAGGCTCACAGTCTGAATGGTCTGAAAGATGTCTTCAACAGCCAAAGGAATGACTCCTGGGTCTTTATCACAGCCCATCATGCTGAAGGTCTTTCCAGATGAAGACTGTCCATAGGCAAATATCGTCCCATTGTATCCTTGGACAGTAGACACGACCAGAGGTTTGGCAATAGTCTGGTAAAGTTGACTTGTCGTTTCATGAGCAGTAAAAACAATAACAATAACAATAATAATTTTATCATGTGTTAATAATAAAGGCTTTTAAATGTAAAAAAAAAAAAAAAAAAAAAAGTTATGCAGGGTGCATTGAAGACAATCAAATCCTGTAGTTAAACACAAGAATTGAACCCAGACTCCTACTCAGGAACAACTAGACCTAGATATCTTCTGGGACTTGCCGGTGTTACGTCGAGCCGCGTTTCCCCGTCAGATACTGTTTCCCCTGCGTCTACTCGCCGCTCCGCCCCGCTCCGCGCCTCGCACGCGGCAAATAGTGCGCGTGCTTGTTCAGCACTCGTAACCAGCGAGCCGTGCTTGCGCGGCGAGGCAACTACAGACACAGTGAAAGCACCTGAGTGAAGTTGGCCCCTACCCCACGCAAAACTCAGTGAAAAATAGCCACACTCGTTAGTGCTGGTTTGTGCAGAAAAAATATCGTTTGTGCTGTTTTGGTTTTTCAGGTATGACAACTTTATATAGCCTATATATATATATATAATATGATATGACAAATAAATAAATATGTATGTATGTATGTATGTAATATATGTATGTATGTATGTAATATATATATATATATATATATATATAGCCTATATATATATATATATATATATATATATATATATATATCCTATATATATATATATATATATATATATATATATATATATATATATAGCCTATATATATATATATATATATAGATATATATATTCACAAATATATATATATAAATACATTTATCTATCATGTGTATATATACATGTATTCCCTCAGTGTTAAACAGGGGAAACGCGTCCTTATGGCCAAATTACCCCCGTCAGATACCGTTCCCCCTGTGTTAAACGGGGGAAACGCATCCTGATGGCCAAATAACCCCCGTCAGATACCGTTCCCTCAGTTTTAAACGGGGGAAACGGTATCTGATGGCCAAATAACCCCCGTCAGATACCGTTCCCCCTCTGTTAAACGGGGGAAACGCATCCTGATGGCCAAATAACACCCGTCAGATACCGTTCCCTCAGTTTTAAACGGGGGAAACGGTATCTGATGGCCAAATAACCCCCGTCAGATACCGTTCCCCCTGTGTTAAACGGGGGAAACACATCCTGATGGCCAAATAACCCCCATCAAATACCGTTCCCTCAGTTTTAAACAGGGGAAACGCATCCTGATGGCCAAATAACCCCCGTCAGATACCGTTCCCTCAGTTTTAAACGGGGGAAACGGTATCTGACGGCCAAATTACCCCCGTCAGATACCGTTCCCCCTGTGTTATTTTTTAAAACTGGACACAAAAAACACAACCTCGAATCAAAATGCACATTTTTCAAAACACAATTTTCAATTTTACAATGGCTTACTTCTTGCCACTCTTCCATAAAGGCCAGAGTTGTGCAGTATACGACTGATTGTTGTCCTGTGGACAGAGTCTCCCACCTCAGCTGTACATTTCTGCAGTTCATTCAGAGTGATCATGGGCCTCTTGGCAGCATCTCTGATCAGTTTTATCCTTGTATGAGCTGAAAGTTTAGAGGAAAGGCCGGGTCTTTGTAGATTTGCAGTGGTCTGATACTCCTTCCATTTCAATATTATCGCTTGCACGGTGCTCCTTGGGATGTTTAAAGCTTGGGAAATCTTTTTGTATCCAAATCCAGCTTTAAACTTCTCCACAACAGTATCTGGGACCTGCCTGGTGTGTTCCTTGTTCTTCATGATGCTCTCTGCGCTTTAAACTGAACTCTGAGACTATCACAGAGCAGGTGCATTTATACGGAGACTTGATTACACACAGGTACATTCTATTTATCATCTTCAGTCATTTAGGACAACATTTGATCATTCAGAGATCCTCACTGAACTTTTGGAGAGAGTTTGCTGCACTGAAAGTAAAGGGGCTGAATAATTTTGCACGCCCAATTTTCAGTTCTTTATTTGTTAAAAATGTTTGAAATATCCAATAAATTTCGTTTCACTTCATGATTGTGTCCCACTTGTTGTTGACACAACAAAAAATTACAGTTTTATGTCTTAATGTTTGAAGCCTGAAATGTGGCAAAAGGTTGAAAAGTTCAAGGGGGCCGAATACTTTCGCTAGGCACTGTATCTGTAGCTAAGTAGCCAGGGCACATGATCACTCAGAGGCATAGTGGCAGGACCATCAACTGTCACATGAGCATTGCACCTGCTTGCTCTCAGTCTATCTGTAGCAAACACCCAACCCAACGAAGTGATTACAGCCTGTAAGAGTGCAGGCCTACTGTACTGCTTGAGAAAGTATTTGGAAAATACTATGTATGTAAAGCACTACATAAACACATTGTGTGCTGTAAATTGACAACCTATACCCTTTACAGTTCACTGTGAAGACTTACTCTATCAAGACCAGGGAAACCAGAAGAATATGTAGGTTACTGCTAATTACCGTAACATCCTGTTCTTCCTGTGAGTGGTACTGTCACTTTACAACAGTGGAGGACTTTACTGTGGAAAAAATGTGTCTTTACATTACTCTGATTGTTTTTCCCATTCATTTCAATAGATTGAGGTGTTATCAAATAGCAGAAAGATGAATTTAATGGATGAACCAATGGTCCTCCAATATTAAAGGTGTGAAACTAAAGTAAAATGATCCAGTGATCTTTGCATTGTTAGTGTTGTATCCAAGCAATTGAAAATTGTGTTTTGAAAAATGTGCATTTTGATTCGAGGTTGTGTTTTTTGTGTCCAGTTTTAAAAAATAACACAGGGGGAACGGTATCTGACGGGGGTTATTTAGCCATCAGGATGCGTTTCCCCTGTTTAAAACTGAGGGAACGGTATTTGATGGGGGTTATTTGGCCATCAGGATGCGTTTCCCCTGTTTAAAACTGAGGGAACGGTATTTGATGGGGGTAATTTGGCCGTCAGATACCGTTTCCCCTGTTTAAAACTGAGGGAACGGTATCTGACGGGGGTTATTTGGCCATCAGGATGCGTTTCCCCTGTTTAAAACTGAGGGAACGGTATCTGACGGGGGTTATTTGGCCATCAGGATGCGTTTCCCCTGTTTAAAACTGAGGGAACGGTATTTGATGGGGGTTATTTGGCCATCAGGATGTGTTTCCCCTGTTTAAAACTGAGGGAACGGTATTTGATGGGGGTTATTTGGCCATCAGGATGTGTTTCCCCCGTTTAACACAGGGGGAACGGTATCTGACGGGGGTTATTTGGCCATCAGGATGCGTTTCCCCTGTTTAAAACTGAGGGAACGGTATTTGATGGGGGTTATTTGGCCATCAGGATGTGTTTCCCCCGTTTAACACAGGGGGAACGGTATCTGACGGGGGTTATTTGGCCATCAGATACCGTTTCCCCCGTTTAAAACTGAGGGAACGGTATCTGACGGGTGTTATTTGGCCATCAGGATGCGTTTCCCCCGTTTAACAGAGGGGGAACGGTATCTGACGGGGGTTATTTGGCCATCAGATACCGTTTCCCCCGTTTAAAACTGAGGGAACGGTATCTGACGGGGGTTATTTGGCCATCAGGATGCGTTTCCCCCGTTTAACACAGGGGGAACGGTATCTGACGGGGGTAATTTGGCCATAAGGACGCGTTTCCCCTGTTTAACACTGAGGGAATACATGTATATATACACATGATAGATAAATGTATTTATATATATATATAGGCTATATATATATATATATATATAGGCTATATATATATATATATATATATATATATATATATATATAGGCTATATATATATATATATATAGGCTATATATATATATATATATATATATATATATATAGGCTATATATATATATATATATATATATATATATATATATATAGGCTATATATATATATATATATATATAGCCTATATATATATATAAATACATTTATCTATCATGTGTATATATACATACATACATACATACATACATACATACATACATACATACATACATACATACATACATACATACATACATATTTATTTATTTGTCATATCATATTATATATATATATAGGCTATATTAATATAAAGTTGTCATACCTGAAAAACCAAAACAGCACAAACGATATTTTTTCTGCACAAACCAGCACTAACGAGTGTGGCTATTTTTCACTGAGTTTTGCGTGGGGTAGGGGCCAACTTCACTCAGGTGCTTTCACTGTGTCTGTAGTTGCCTCGCCGCGCAAGCACGGCTCGCTGGTTACGAGTGCTGAACAAGCACGCGCACTATTTGCCGCGTGCGAGGCGCGGAGCGGGGCGGAGCGGCGAGTAGACGCAGGGGAAACAGTATCTGACGGGGAAACGCGGCTCGACGTAACACCGGGCT